GGACACTTGGGCTGTTTCCATAATTTGGCTATTGTAAATAATGCCTCAGTAAACATACGGGTGCATATATCCTTTCAAATAGGTGTTTTCCTATTCTTTGGGTAAATATGGAGTAGTGCACTACCGGCCCATAGAGTAGTTTTATTTTTAATTTTTTAACGAACCTCCATACTGTTTTCCACAGTGGCTGCACCAGTTTGCATTCCCACCAAAGTGCATGAGGATTCCTTTTTTCCACATCCTCATCAGCACTTGTTGTTTCTTGTGTTTTTTATTTTTGCCATTCTGGCAGGTGTAAAGTGATGTCTCATTGTGGTTTTAATTTGCATTTCCTTGATGATGAGTGATGTAGAGTGTCTTTTCATGTGTCTGTTGGCCATCTGGATGTCTTCTTTGGAGAAACATGTGTTCATGTCTTCTGCCCATTTTTAAATTGGATTATTTGTTTTTCTGCTGTCAAGTTGTAGAAGTTCTTTATATCTTTTGAACACTAACCCTTTGTTGGGTATGTCATTTGCACATATCTTCTCCCATTCAGTAGGTTGTCTTTTAGTGTTGTTGTTTCCTTCACTGTGAAGAAGATTTTTATTTTGATGTAGTCGCAACAGTTTATTTTTGCTTTTATTTCCCTTGCCTCCGGAGACATATCTACAAAAATGTTCCTTTGGCTGATGTCAGAGACATTACTGCCTGTGCTCTCTTCTAGGATTTTTATGGTTTCAGGCCTTACATCTAGGTTTTTAATCCATTTCAAGTTTGTTTTTGTGTGTGGAGTAAGAAAGTGGTCTAGTTTCATTCTTCTGCATATAGCTGTCCAGTTTTCCCAAAACCATTTGTTGAAGAGACATCTTTTTCCCGTTAGCTATTCTTCCTGCTTTGTCAAGGATTCATTGACCATATAATTGTGAATTTACTTCTGGGTTTTCTATTCTGTTCCATTGGTGTATGTGTCTGTTTTTGTGCCAATACCATACTGTCCTGATTACTTAAGCTTTGTAATATAAGTTGAAACCTTCCCACCAATACTTTTAAATTAAACCAAGATAGTCATCTGGTTCTTTAGGGTCTAAACAATCAGGTCTAGTCAAGTAATGCTCTTTTGTCCTTTTGTTTATATAGGACTAGTGAAAACAGCTCTCTTAGAAGTTGTTGATGGAAGGCTGTAAATTATTTCAGTTTTAGCAGATTAAAAGAATTTTTTATTTGAGTGTAACTCTACTCAACTGACACACAGGGTACATTACTTTCAGGTAAGTCCTGCCCTCAAGGCTCTTTAACTCATTGAATCGGCCATATCCAGATTATCGAAGAAATTCTCTTTTACTTAAAATCAACTGATTATAGACAGCAATCCCATCTGTGAAGTACCTTCACAGCAACACCTACATTAGTGTTTGATTGAATAACTGGGAACTATAGTCAAATTGACATATAAACCCAGCCATCATAACAGGAGGATTATTGATTATCAGCGATGCTTGGGCACGCTCAAGGAGAATAAAAACGAAGTTGCTTCTGGATGTATCCTGCATCCGTTTAAGTTTGAAGTGGTAACAATAGTTAAGTCTGACAAATATTTATTTTCTTAGCTATATGGTACATAGGGAAATCATTTTCTCAGTTCAGTTTTCCATGTCTGGGTCTTTAGCATGATTCCTCTATTCCTGCGATTCTGGTCTTCGGAATTCATTATGTTGGCTAGTGGATGCAGTGAACAGATGAGGTTTGGTGGACATTCTACAGACCCATATGTGTTTTGACAGGGGAAATATATTAACCGAAACATACTAGTTTTCTCTTAGTGAAAGCTAAGTCAGAATCAGAACTCAAAATCACCCACATGACAGTCAATGAAATGTACAAGTCCTGTCCCCTTCCCCAGAATCAATCCAGGCCAATTGGTTCCAAGGGATTAAATTTTGAAGAGGACTGAAGCTCTACATAAGAGTTAGTGGTTGGTTTGTTTTTCAGTCTACATCTCCTGTATGTGGAAGATCTTCACATTATATTCTTATCTGCCAGAGGCAGAAACTTTGTTTGGCCAAGTATAAACATGTGCAATGAGAGAATTTAGACCAACCTGGAAATGCTGTGGAGATCAGAGAGGTCTAAGAAATCAGGTTGTACAGCACATCAAGCTTACAATGGCAGTCAATTTTGGTTTTGATCACTTTCTCATAATGAGAAATTATAGGAGTTTCTTGTAGCAATCTGTGTGTTAGAAGCAGTAATAATTCACATATAAAAAATGCTAGCATTTTATAGATAATGTTAGTAGACCTGGATATGGATGGTAAGTCAACACTGGGGGCTCTGGGTGGTAAAATAAAGGACAAGATTTTTTAAAGTATTGATGGTGTTATACAGATGTTTTCCCATTGATGACTTTCTCTAAATAAAGATCAAGTAAGTTTAAAGAAGAAGGAAAGGGAGAAAGAGAAGAAGGAGGAGAAGGAATAGAGAGAAAGTAATCAAACCAGTTAGCTTGATGATTCTGCACACTCTCAGAGAGAGAAAGAAAGAGAAAAAGAAAGAGAGAGAGTGAAAGAGAGAACAGACAGTGGTGCTGAATGTGTGACCCAGAAACAGGAGCATCAGCATTATCTGAGAACTTGTTCCAAATACAAATTCTTGGCCCTATTATTGACCAATTGAATGAGAAAGTCTGGGACTGGGGACACACTACTCACTCTTCACAAGCTCTCCAGGTGATTCTTTTAAGGGTAAGAATCACTGGTCTAACCAATGGGTTTGTCTAAAACTCCCAGAGTCCGTTTCTTTGGAAGAGACTTTGTCCTTTAAGATCGTGGCTTGAGAATCCCACAACCTGCAAATCTCTAAAGTTTTCAATGTCCTTGGTACTTTGGCTCCCAAGGAAGACCTCACAGAGAGTTAAGTGTTTTTGAGACCTTTTAGAAACTTTTTAACAACGCCCTTGCTTCCCTTGCCTCCAGTGGGAATCGGAGGGCGGGGGGAATCAGCTCAGCTCTGTTTCTAGAGCTGAGCCCAGTCCAATAGTGTGTCCCTGAGGATATACCCTCTTTCCCTAGGGTCACCCCTGCTGTCATAGATGATGTGTGGGCAGTGGCCAGGGAACTGACGCTGCAGGAAAAGGCTCTCTAAGATGATGTGAGACCTGAAGCCATTCTCCCATTCTGGGCTGGAGGAAGGTGAGACACCAAGGTTTTCTCCTCTGTAGGTAAATCAGCTGCAAAAAACACCAAGAAACACTTCCTGGAAAGAGGGGAGATTAAACAAGTAGACATAGACTGGACGGTAGTGAGTCTAAAGTGTGAGGAGAGTCTCGGGAAGGAATTCAGGGGAAATATAATGTTGAAAACAGATGCCTCAGGTTGCATGTGAAAACCCAGGCTTTTAACAACCAAGCAGGAATGGAGGGTGCTGAGAGCAGAGTGCGAGGAAAAGCACCACAAAATTCCCACTTAGATGTAGAAAACAAGGTCACAGAATTACCTACTAATACGTTAATTTAGCAAACATGTTTGGAGCAACTTCTAAGTCAGCGTTGCTGTTCCAGGTGTTGGCGTTATAACGTTACTGAATTTACAGTCTAGTTAAGAGGGACAAGAGAAGAAAGTGATAAATGCTCTAATGGAGCTATTTATAAATCCTTATTGGAACCCAGAGACAGAAGGGATTAATTCTGCTTGGGAGAGATAAGGGGAGGAGTCACAGAGCAGGCGATATCCCAGTCCTTGTAGGGTGAGAAGGTAGTAGAAGGCATTTCAGGAAACAGAACACATTACCAATGCAACCAAGGAAATAACCGAGCATATGGCACATGTGAGAAGCTGTGACACAGGTCTTGGCATATAGTAGACATTCAATTCATATGAATTTCTTGAATAGCAATCTGTTGCAGGGTGACAGGGATACTGATTGCAAAGTTAGGTGAAGGCTACGTTTTATAGCCTTGTGGGACATGCTGAGAGGGAGTTGCATGCACATAGGTAAGTATGATTTTCGACTATGTATAAATCCACAAAGCAAGTTAGGCAGCTTCAAAGAGTTTAAGTTATAAGTCAGGGGCACTGGATAGTCATCGGAAGATTATAATGAGAGAGAAACCAGATATGAGCTTAAAAGGTCTCACTGACAGTCTTATAGAACCAGCCTATGGTGGAAGCAAATAGAAGACAAAGGATGAGATGAACCTGATCTTTAATCCATGATGGACTGCAGTAGGCGCATGAGAGAGGATGGAACTGACACAGGGCAGGAGGAGCGGGGAGACCCGCACCCCTAACCTGTTCCCCTCTATCTCTCCCCCTCCTTTCCCAGCTTTGCCTTGTTCCTTCCTTCCCCACCACCTTCTCATTTCCCCTTCCTTCATCTGCTCTCTTCCTCCCTCTCCCTTTCTCTTCCTCTCCCACCTTGATTCCTTTACCCGTTTCTATGCTCTTATTTCAACATCTTCCTCCTTCTTCTTATATCAGTAACATCTTCTAAACTTCTTGTTCCTTTCAGCAGAGCTCTCAGAGTCTCCATCATGAAATACTCGTAACTATTTCTTAAAGTAGAGACTCTCTCTCACCCTGGCCTCTCTCTTGTCTCAGCACACACTCTGTAACTTTCTGGGCCTCACCAGGTAAGGGGCTGCACCTCACAGCTCCTCCAGCACCCAGCATCAACACAACCTGATTTTGGAGCATTGACTGTCCACCAAGATGGGCACTTGGGGCACAAATAAAGATCCTTGTCTCTGCCTCTGGGAGCTTTCAGTTAAATTGTGGAGGAAACACATAGTCACAGGAAAAGCCCATTAACAGGAGGTTGTGTTAAATGTTGCATGAAAAATGATTGCTAGAAAAGTTTATTTGAGACTGGAAGAAGGGAGGATGTCTTAGAGGAGGAGAATACCCAGAAGAAGTGATTGCCAGAGTGATTTATTTCCAGGCACTTTCTAGGAACTTGATGTGTTATCTATTTCATGCCCTAGACAATTCTATAAAAAAGATGTGTTTATTCCTTTCTTACAGATGTGGAAACTGAGACTCAGAGAGATTAAGTAGCTGAATTAAGGTCAAATTTCAAATAACTAGAAGCCCTGAATTTGACTGCTGGTGTGTTGGAGTCCAACTGTCTCCCCAAACTGGATCACACGGAATCTTTGAAAGGCAGGTTGCATATGCTCTGGATGGCTTTAAGATATCTCATGAATGTATATTATAGCACCAGTTTGTATACTGTCCACTGACAAGCCCATTAATAATCAGCACCGGGTGATATATCTGCACATGAGGATCCATCATCTGGACCTGGACAACTCAGTTTGAATCCTGAGCACTAAAAGTGACTTCCTGCATTTGTGTCTATGATTCCTTTTCTTTAGGAGTATGGGGAAGATACCATGGAGCCAAAAAACCTCACGTGGGTATCAGAGTTTGTCTTTTTGGGGTTCTCAGAGATTCGAGAGCTCCAGCTTTTCCTGTTTCTGGTGTTCCTTTGTGTCTACACCACCACTGTCATGGGAAACCTCCTCATCATGGTCACAGTGACTTCAGACACCCGGCTCCACACACCCATGTACTTCCTGCTCCGAAATCTGGCTGTCTTAGACCTCTGTTTCTCCTCTGTCACTGCCCCAAAGATGCTGGTGGACTTCCTCTCTGAAAAGAAGATCATCTCCTACCAGGGCTGCATGGCCCAGATCTTCTGCATTCATCTTCTTGGTGGCGCGACTGTCTTCTTCCTCTCGGTGATGGCCTTTGACCGCTACATAGCCATCTCCCGGCCCCTCCACTATGTCACCATCATGAACACTCAGTTGTGTGTGGGGCTGGTGGTGGCTGCTTGGGTAGGGGGATTTGTTCACTCCATTGTCCAGCTGGCTCTGATGCTCCCATTGCCTTTTTGTGGCCCCAACGTCCTGGATAATTTCTACTGTGATGTCCCACAAGTGCTGAGACTTGCCTGCACTGACACCTCCCTCCTGGAGTTCCTCATGATCTCCAACAGTGGAATGTTGGTGCTTATCTGGTTCCTTCTTCTTCTGATATCTTACACGGTCATCCTGGTGATGCTGAGGTCCCACTCAGGGCAGGCAAGGAAGAAGGCAGCTTCCACCTGCACCACTCACATCATTGTGGTGTCTATGATCTTCATTCCCTGTATCTCTGTCTACTCCCGGCCTTTCACCACCTTTTCCTTGGATAAGGCTTTATCCATCAGCTACACAGTTATGACCCCCATGCTCAGCCCCATGATCTACACGCTGAGGAATCAGGAGATGCAAGCAGCCATGAAGAGACTACGTAAGCGCCTCGTGATATGTAACAAGGAGTGAATAAAATGTCTTGACTAGGGGCACCTGGGTGGCTCAGTTGGTTAGGTGTCCAACTCTTGATATCAGCTCAGGTCTTGATCTCAGGGAGTGAGTTCAAGCCCTGTGTGGAGCCTAATTAAAGAAATAATCTTGACTTTAAATGACAATTTTTCTATCTGAACTTTTGTTTTCCCATGTGAAAAGTAGAGGAAAGTCTTTATAGATTGTGACATTTGACATTAAATCAGTATTTCTATGTACCTACTCTTATGTTTGGTATTATGTTAGGCCCTTTCTCACTTTTACTTTTTAAAGATTTATTGATTGATTTGAGAGAGAGAGAGAAAGAGAGCACCCGGGGAGGGGCAGAGGAGATGGAGAGAGAGAATCTCAAGCCAGACTCCTTGCTGAGCACTTACTGGGATCTCAGGACCCCAAGATCATGACCTGAGTTGAAATCAAAGGGCTGGATCCTCAAATTACTGAGCCACCCAGGCGCCCCGGCACTTTCTCACTTTTATCTCATCCTCATAAAATGGACAGTGGGTATATTGTTATTATATAAACATTTTAACAATGAGAGAACTCAGGGAGAGATAATTTGCTCAGTGGTGAACAAGTGAGTGGCAGAGCTTGGCCAGGACTTGGTTCCTCTGACTCCAAGTTTACAGGCAAGGCTATGGGTGGGATGTGAAATTCAAGGTTTCCCACAAACACAAGGGAAAACCTGGAGAGTTCCTCAGCTGTGGATGAATATTTGTGATGACTGGTGAACAATATCATCTTAACTCTAGAATAATCATAATCTTTTCTTCTCCCTGTTTTTACTCTTTCTTTATCTTTGGAGTTCTGTAACTTCATTCAACTATGTCTTTGCATTCACTGATGGTTGTCAATTTTCTTTTGCCCGTTCAATCTATTGATTCCATTTGTAAACGACCAGAAGTCACTTACTGGTTCAATTTTTTAAAAAGTTATCTTGAGTCCCTTTCTTAATTTATGAAAATTTTACTTTTACGTGATCCAGAATATCAATTCTAAGGATGGTAGGAAGCATAGAAATGCTAATTATAATCTATAACATCGATCTCAAGGAGAGAAATGGGAGACATTTCCTCAGTGTATCTTACACATGATCATTCCACTACATGAGATACTCAATTTTGAACTGAATTTGTTGAGCAATACGCCCTTTTGATGAATACTGCTATATCCATGAGAATTTTTTTATTTAAATATCCATGAGAATTTTTAAATTTAAATATCCATGAGAATTTAAGACAACTCTAATTGAAGATAAAGATAACTTATGTCTATGTTTATGATGTAAATGTGACTCATATCTAAATATATTAAGCCTATGGGGCATCTGGGTTTCTGTTGATTGAGTGTCTAACTCTGATTTCAGCTCAGGTCATGATGTCTGTGTGGTAAGATCAAGCCCCTGGTCGGGCTCCATACTGAGTGGAGCCTGTTTAAGATTGTCTCTCTCTCTCTGTCCCTCCCCACTAGCTCATGCTCTCTTTCTCTCTCTCTATCTCAATAAATAAAAAAATAAAAATAAATAAAAATTTTATGAAGCCTTAATGGATTGGTGCAATGTCTTTCATAAAGACAGTAGAGAAAAAATTTTAAAGAAATTGTTCATAAAATGGCCTAAATTAAAAACATTCCCCACATTCTGATGCTATCTTAAATTGTATAGTGAGACTCTAACAGGATTTGCAGCCTTGGCACTCAATACGGGCTCTAACTCCTGCTGGTTGTGCTCCTTTTGGACATCATTGAATCTCCACTTCTTTAGCTATAAAATTTCCATAATTGCTCACAGTGTTGTGTGGGTCAGTGGGGTACATGGAAAAATTCCAGCACAGGACTTGGCATATAGTCGGCATTCAGTTAATGTTAGTTCCTCACCCATTCCCATTTACAATTATTTTGTGACTTCTCATCAATACTTTTTCTTAAATTTTAATTCCAGTATAGTTAACGTACAGTGTTAAATTAGTTTCAGGTGTTAAATTACTCAGTGCTCATCAAGGTAGGTGTCCTCTTAATCTCCACCTATTTCATCTATCCCCCCACCCACCTCTCCTCTGGTCACCATCAGTTTGTTCTCTATAGTTAAGAGTCTGTTTCTGGTTTGTCTTTCTTTCCCCCCTTTGTTCATTTGTTTTGTTTCTTAAATTCCACATATGAGTGAAATGATATGATGTTTGTCTTTCTCTTACTGATTTATATAACTTAGCATTATACTGTCTAGACCCATCCATGTTGTTGCAAATGGCAAGATTTCATTCCTTTATATGGCTGAATAATATTCCATTATATATAATCTTCTTTATCCATTCATCTGTCGATGGACACTTGGGCTGTTTCCATAATTTGGCTATTGTAAATAATGTTGCAAGAAACATATGGGTGCATATATCCTTTCAAATTACTGTTTTCATTTTCTTTGGGTAAATAACCAGTGTGATTACTAGGTCTATTTTTAATTTTTTGAGGAACAACCATACTGTTTTCCACAGTGGCTGCACCAGTTTGCATTCCCGCCAAAGTGCATGAGGGATCCTTTTTCTCCACATCCTTGCCAGCATTTATTGTTTCTTGTGTTTTTTATTTCTGAAAGGTATGAGGTGATATTTCATTGTGGTTTTGATTTGCATTTCCCTGGTGATGAGTGATGTAGAGTGTCTTTTCATGTGTTTGTTGGCCATCTGGATGTCTTCTTCAGAGAAATATGTGTTCATGTCTTCTGCCCATTTTTAAATTGGATTATTTGTTTTTCTGCTGTCGAGTTGTAGAAGTTCCTTATATCTTTTGGATACTAACCCTCTGTTGGATTTGTCATTTGCAAATATCTTCTCCCATTCAGTAGGTCATCTTTTATGGTTGTTGATTGTTTCCTTCACTCTACAGAAACCTTTTAGTTTGATACAGTCCCATAGTTTATTTTTGCTTTTATTTCTTGCCTCCGGAGACGTATCTATAAAAATGTTGCTATGGCTGATGTCAGAGACGTTACTGCCTGTGCTCTCTTCTAGGAATTTTATGGTTTCAGGTATCACATTTAGGTCTTAATCCACTTTAATTTTATTTTTGTGTATGAAGTGTGATCATGGTACAGTTCATTTTTTTGCATGGGTTGTCCAGTTTTCCCAACACCATTTGTTGAAGAGACTTCTTTTTATTGGCTATTTTTTCCTGCTTTGTCAAAGATTAGTTGACTATATAATTGTGGTTTTACTTCTAGGTTTTCTATTCTTTTTTTTTTTTAAGATTTTATTTTTTTATTTGAGAGAGAGAATGAGATAGAGAGAGCATGAGAAGGGGGAAGGTCAGAGGGAGAAGCAGACTCTCTGCTGAGCAGGGAGCCTGATGCAGGACTCGATCCCGGGACTCCAGGATCATGACCTGAGCCGAAGGCAGTTGCTTAACGAACTGAGCCACTCAGGCGCCCTTAGGTTTTCTATTCTATTCCATTGGTGTATGTGTCTATTTTTGTGCCAGGACCATATTGTTTTGTTACTTGAGCTTTGTAGTATAATTTGAAATCTTCACATAATACCTTTATTTTTCACTTTTTAAGATTTTGTTTCTAAGTAATCTTTACACCCAGTGTGCGGCTAGAAATTACAACCCCAAAATCAAGAGTCACGTGCGCTACCGACTGAGCCAGCCAGGTGCTTCTCCATCAGTACTTTCAAATTAAACCAAGATAGTTAGTCAACTGGTTCTTGAGGATCTAAACAATCAGGTCTAGTCAAGTAATGATCTTTTGTCCTTTTGTTTATATAGGATTAGTGAAAACAGCTCTCTTAGAAGTTGTTGATGGAGGGCTCTAAATTATTTCAGTTTTAGCAGATTAAAATAATTTTTTATTTGAGTGTAACTCTACTCAACTGACACATAGGGTACGTTACTTTCAGGTGTACAGCATAGTGATTCAACTTCTCTATCTGGTATGCTCAGTGATAGTTTAATTCTGGCTCAAAGAATACTTCACGTCTCAGCCTTATTAATCTGTAGATCTTGCCATTCCAGTTGGATTTATAATCAAGTTCATGGATGACTGAGGTGTGAGGAGGAAAAGACCTCAATCAACCTTGCCTAAGATGTTTACTTTACATTGGATCCATAAAAGGTGGTGTATCAGTCCGAGTTCCACCAAAGCACAGGACCAGTTGGATATAGATAACATACGTCTGTTAAGAGATTTATTATGAGGAATTGGCTTACATGATTGGGAGACTGATCCCTGGGCCAGTAGAAATGCATAGGACAGGGGTCAGGAAGGGCAGGCGGTGACTCTGCATGAGCTGAAGCCACAGTCCAGAATATCACCTTCTTCAAGGAAATCTCAGTCCTGCCCTCAAGGCTCTTTAACTCATTGAATCAGCCACATCCAGATTATCAAAGAAATTCTCTTTTACTTAAAATCAACTGATTAGGGGCGCCTGGGTGGCTCAGTCGTTAAGCGTCTGCCTTCGGCTCAGGTCGTGGTCCGGGACCCTGGGATCGAGCCCCGCATCGGGCTCCCTGCTCCGCAGGGAGGCCTGCTTCTCCCTCTCCCACTCCCCCTGCTTGTGTTCCCTCTCTCGCTGTGTCTCTCTCTGTCAAAAAAATAAATAAAATCTTTAAAAAAAAAAATCAACTGATTATAGACAGCAATCCCATCTGTGAAGTATCTTTACAGCAACACTTACATTAGTGTTTGATTGAATAACTGGGAACTATAGATTACTCAAATTGACATATAAAACCAACCATCATAACAGGAGGATTATTGATTATCATGATGCTGGGCACCCTCAAGGAGAATATAAACGAAGTTGCTTCTGGATGTATCCTGCATCATTTAAGTTTGAAATGATATCAATAGTTAAGTCTGACAAATATTTATTTTCTTAGCTATATGGTACATAGGGAAATCATTTTCTCAGTTCAGTTTTCCATGTCTGGGTCTTTAGCATGTTTCCTCTATTCCTGCCATTCTGGTCTTTGAAATTCATTATGTTGGCTAGTGGATGCAGTGAACAGATGAGGTTTGGTGGACATTCTACAGACCCATATGTGTTTTGACAGGGGAAATATATTAACCGAAACATACTAGTTTTCTCTTAGTGAAAGCTAAGTCAGAATCAGAACTCAAAATCACCCACATGACAGTCAATGAAATGTACAAGTCCTGTCCCCTTCCCCAGAATCAATCCAGGCCAATTGGTTCCAAGGGATTAAATTTTGAAGAGGACTGAACCTCTAAACAAGAGTTAGTGGTTGGTTTGTTTTTCAATCTACATCTCTTGTATGTGGAAGATCTTCACATTATATTCTTATCTGCCAGAGGGAGATACTTAATTTGGCCAAGTATAAACATGTGCAATGAGAGAATTTAGACGAACTTGGAAATGTTATGTAGATCGGAGAGGTCTAAGAAATCAGGGTTTACAGCACACCAAGCTTACAATGGCAGTCAATTTTGGTTTTGATTACTTTCTCATAATGAGAAATTATAGGAGTTTCTTATAACAATCCTAGTGTTAGAATGCATATAAAATGCTAGCATTTTATGTTAGCTATGTCCTAGGTACTTTAGCCCCCAAGGAAGACCTCTCAGAGAGTAAGTGGTTTTGAGACCTTTAGAAACTTTTTAACAACTCCCATTTTTCCCTTGCCCCCAGTGGGAATCAGCGGGGAATCGGCCCAGCTCTGTTCTAGAGCTGAGCCCGGTCCTATAGTGTGTCCCTGAGGATATGCCCTCTTTCCCTAGGGTCACTGTCATAGGTGATGTGTGGGCAGTGGCCAGGGAACTGACGTTGCAGGAAGGGGCTCTCCAAGATGATGTGAGACCTGAAGCCATTCTCCCATTCTGGGCTGGAGGAAGGTGAGACACTAAGGTTTTCTCCTCTGTAGATAAATCAGCTGTAGGAAGGACCCAGAAACACGGAACATTGGGAGATTAAACAAGTAGACAGACTGGATGGTAGTAAGTCTTAAGTGTGAGGAGAGTCTCGGGAAGGAATTCAGGGGAAATATAATGTTGAAAACAGATGCCTCAGGTTGCATGTGAAAACTCAGGTTTTTAACAACCAAGCAGGAATGGAGGGTGCTGAGAGCAGAGCATGAGGAAATGCATCACAAAATGCCCCCTAGATGCAGAAAACAAGGTCACAGAATTACCCACTAATACATTAAGTTAGCAAACACGTGTGGAGCAACTTCTAAGTCAGCGTTGCTGTTCCAGGTGTTGGCGTTATAACGTTACTGAATTTACAGTCTAGTTAAGAGGGACAAGAGAAGAAAGTGATAAATGCTCTAATGGAGCTATTTATAAATCCTTATTGGAACCCAGAGACAGAAGGGATTAATTCTGCTTGGGAGAGATAAGGGGAGGAGTCACAGAGCAGGCGATATCCCAGTCCTTGTAGGGTGAGAAGGTAGTAGAGGGCATTTCAGGAAACAGAACTCATTACCAATGCAACCAAGGAAATAACCGAGCATATGGCACATGTGAGAAGTTATGAATCTTGAATGGCAATCAGTTGCAGGATCACAGGGATACTGATTGCAAAGCTAGGTGAAGGCTACATTTTATAGCCTTGTGTGACACGCTGAGAGGGAGTTGCATGCACATAGGTAAGCATGATTTTCGACTCTGTATAATCCACAAAGCATGTTAGGCAGCTTCAAAGAATTTGAGTTATAAGCCAGGGGCACTAGACAGTCATTGGAAGATTATAATGAGCGAGAAACTTGATCAGATATGAACTTAGAAGGTCTCATTGACAGTCTTATAGAACCGGCCTGCAGTGGAAGTAAATGGAAGGCAAAGGAAGAGATAAACCTGAGCCTTAATCCATGATGGACTTCATTAGGCATATGAGAGAGGATGGGACTGAGACAGGGCAGGAGGAGTGGGGAGGCCCCCTCACCCCTAACCCATCCTCCTCCACCTCTCCCCCTACACCTCCTTCTCCAGCTTTGCCCTGTTTCTTCCTCCACCCACCACCTTCCCATTTCCCCTTTCTTCACCTGCTCTCTTCATCCCTCTCCCTTTCTCTTCCTCTCCCACCTTGATTCCTTTACCCGTTTCTATGCTCTTATTTCAACATCTTCCTTCTTCTCCCCTTGTATCAGTAACATCTTCTAAACTTCTTGTTCCTTTCAGCAGAGCTCTCAGAGTCTCCATCATGAAATACTCGTAACTATTTCTTAAACTAGAGACTCTCTCTCACCCTGGCCTCTCTCTTGTCTCGGCACACACTCTGTAACTTTCTGGGCCTCACCAGGTAAGGGGCTGCACCTCACAGCTCCTCCAGCACCCAGCATCAACACAACCTGATTTTGGAGCATTGACTGTCCACCAAGATGGGCACTTGGGGCACAAATAAAGATCCTTGTCTCTGCCTCTGGGAGCTTTCAGTTAAATTGTGGAGGAAACACATAGTCACAGGAAAAGCCCATTAACAGGAGGTTGTGTTAAATGTTGCATGAAAAATGATTGCTAGAAAAGTTTATTTGAGACTGGAAGAAGGGAGGATGTCTTAGAGGAGGAGAATACCCAGAAGTGATTGCCAGAGTGATTTATTTCCAGGCACCTTCTAGGAATTTAATGTGTTATTTTATTCCATGCCCTAGACAATTCTATAAAAAAGATGTGTTTAGGGGCGCCTGGGTGGCTCAGTCATTAAGCGTCTGCCTTCGGCTCAGGTCATGATCCCGGAGTCCCAGGATCGAGTCCCACATCGGGCTCCCTGCTCGGCGGGAAGCCTGCTTCTCCCTCTCCCACTCTCCCTGCTTGTGTTCCTGCTCTCTCTCTCTCTCTCTCTCTGTCAAATAAATAATAAAATATTTATAAAAATGTGTTTATTCCTATCTTACAGATGTGGAAACTGAGACTCAGAGAGATTAAGTAGCTGAATTAAGGTCAAATCTCAAGTAACTAGAAGCCCTGAATTTGACTGCTGGTGTGTTGGACTCCCAACTGTCTCCCCAAACTGGATCACATGGAATCTTTGAAAGGCAGGTTGCATATGCTCTGGATGGCTTTAAGATATCTCATGAATGTATATTATAGCACCAGTTTGTATACTGTCCACTGACAAGCCCATTAATAATCAGCACCGAGTGATGTATCTGCACATGAGGATCCATCATCTGGACCTGGACAACTCAGTTTGAATCCTGAGCACTAAAAGTGACTTCCTGCATTTGTGTCTATGATTCCTTTTCTTTGGGAATATGGGGAAGATACCGAGGAGGAGCCAAAAAACCTCACGTGGGTATCAGAGTTTGTCTTTTGGGGGTTCTCAGAGATTTGAGAGCTCCAGCTTTTCCTGTTTCTGGTGTTCCTGTTTGTCTACACCACCACTGTCATGGGAAACCTCCTCATCATGGTCACGGTGACTTCAGACACCCAGCTCCACACACCCATGTACTTCCTGCTCTGAAATTTGGCTGTCTTAGACCTCTGTTTCTCTTCTGTCACTGCCCCAAAGATGTTGGTGGACTTCCTCTCTGAGAAAAAGACCATCTCCTACCAGGGCTGTATGGTCTAGATCTTCTTCTTCCACTTTCTGGGAGGCGCCATGGTCTTCTTCCTCTCGGTCATGGCCTATGACCGCCTTGTTGCCATCTCTCGGCCCCTCCACTATGTCACCATCATGAACAGTCAGCACTGCATGGGGCTGGTGGTGACAGCCTGGATGGTAGGTTTTGTGCATTCCATTGCCCAACTGGTTCTGATGCTCCCATTGCCTTTCTGTGGCCCCAACATCCTGGATAACTTCTACTGTGACGTCCCACAAGTGCTGAGACTTGCCTGCACTGACATCTCCCTCCTGGAGTTTCTCATGATCTCCAACAGTGGAATGCTGGATGTTGTCTGGTTCTTTCTCCTCCTGACCTCCTACTTAGTCATCCTGGTGATGCTGAGGTCCCACTCTGGGCAGGCGAGGAGGAAGGTGGCTTCCACCTGCACCACCCACATCATCGTCATGTCTATGGTTTTCATTCCAAGCATTTACCTCTATGCCCGGCCCTTCACCCCCTTCTCCATGGACAAGGCTGTGTCCATCAGCCACACGGTCATGACCCCCATGCTCAACCCCATGATCTACACCCTGAGGAACCAGGAGGTGCAGGCAGCAGTGAGGAGACTAGGGAGGCGCCAGCTGGTTTGTAAAAGGGAGCAACAATGAGTAGGTCATTTCTCCTTGGCTTTGTTTTCCATTTGTAGAATGGAGGGAAAGCTACTGTATTGGCTGACTTCATAGTTTGTGGGTATGTTGTGGAGGTCATCATAGAAGTGACTGAGTTTCGAAACTAAGCAACTGACTCAGATTTTTAGGAAAAGGGAAAAAGTCCTCTCTGGTGGCTAAGGTTTATGCTGAAGTTCTAAAACTCCTGCTACAATGAGAAGTGTTCTCATGGCTCCAGAAAGCCACACCCTTCTTTTCCTCTTCTTGGTGGATAGTTTATTCTTATGAGGAGGCTATTTCCCCAGGGAAAGCAGTTCTAGTTTAGGTATTTTCCCAGCCACTTTTGGTCGGTGTCCAGAGTGTTAGAGAAAGCACAGGCCTTGAAGCCTTAGCCCTAAATTGAGAGCCCCTGACCCATTTGTTCCCAGACTGGTGACCTGGAGCAGCTACCTGGCCTCTCTTGAATGTATGGATTCTTCCTCCCCACACTGGCATAGTCCCAATAATCTCACAGATTTGTTATAAGATTCCAAAACATGTAGAAGAATATTTTATAAACCTTACATAGAACCTAGGCAAGGATTATTGTCATTCTTCTCCCTGACATTTCTCCTCTCATCAGATGTGTAGTGCTTTGGAGGGGTTTGGCGGCAATCCCTCAGTGTAGTGAGGGAGGCCTGGAGGGGGTGGGGGCTGAGCTCCAGAGGGCCATGCAACATGCCCAAGAGTGAAACAGAGAACAGAGGGTGAGCATAAATTCAGGGGCATGTCTGCAAGAAAATATTCTTATTTTCATTTGTGATGGATGATTTGAGCTCTTATGACAATAAGATGTAGTCTCATGGAAGCATTCTGGAAAGCTACACTCTCATTTCTGCCTTCTTGGTGGACAGTTTCCCATTATGATGATACCATTTCTCCATAAGAGCTATCTATTGTCTGTGTTTTGACCTCTTTTTCCAATACTCTGTTTTGGTGTGAGTCTGGATTGTTGGAAACAGCACAAGATTTAAAAGTTAATCTTTAAACCTATCACTTACCAAACTGATGATGACCTGGGGATGATTCACTTGGCCTCATGACTTCTTCTTCAATAAACTTGCTTAAATTAATATCTGACCTCCGAACTCCACATTTATTATAAGAATCAAATAAAAAAATCATGTGAGATAACATTGGGTAAACCATGTAACTATTTTCTTCCAGCCTTTTTTGATGCTTTTATTTTATCTTCAAATTTGAAAATGTCATCAATGTTCAGAATATTTCCTTTTACATTTTCAGTGTAGTGTAGTAATTGTTACAAACAAAAGATTATGTGTAAAATACATGTAAGTTATAAAACATTATAGCATTATGAAAGCTCCTATAAAGACAATTTAATTCAAGAAATAGAAGTTACCAATAACTGATACCTACTACCCAGAGGGTCCTTTTACTCACATTCATTCACTCCTCTCCAATGAAACCATTTTCTTGAATTTTGCATTTGCCATCGTATTGCTTATAAAAACACTTTTATCACATTTTTACATAATCAGCATATTGTTTTGTTTTGCTTATTTTGAACATTATGAAAATATCCTACTATACATAATATTCTGGGATTTGCTTTTTTTTTTACTCAACATTATATTTTTAAGCTCTTTGGGTTGTTTCCATGTTTGTTGGGGGTTTTTTTTTGCTATTGCCAACAGTGCTATTTTCAATATTCCTCTATTTGTCTCCAATTGCCCTGTTAAAGAGCTATGGGTTATATATCTTGTAATGGGATTGCTAAATTTTGAGTTATCCAAAGATATAACTTTACAAAAGAGGGCCAAATTGTTTCCCAAAATTGTTGTGCCCAATTACATGTTCATAAGAGGTGTCTAAATGTTCCCATCAATTGGTTTTTTTCTTTTTCTAACAGTTGATATTTTTTTTTTCTTTTTGCCAGTTTAGTGGGTAAAAAATATTTCTCTGTAGTCTGTAGAAATTTGCACTTCTCTCCTCCCTAATGTTTCTTTCCGTGTTTTTATTGCATTCACTTTTCCCAGTAACACCTTTTGTTAATTTTTCTCTTGACTTTTTCTAGTGAATGTAAGAATTCTCATATCATTTGGTTACTGGTCTATTGTCAGTTATGTCATTGCAATATCTTTTTGCAGCTTGTGGTCTGTCTTCTCTATATGTGGTGTTAATTTTAACGTAGTCAGGTGTATCAGTCTTCCGTTTTAATATTAACTCTTACTGATATCTAATTTTTAAAAATTGTTTCTTACCCAGAGGACAGAAAGATATTCTACATATTTCTTTTACTTTAACTTAAACATTTTTTCAACTTAAAAAATTGGGGGGGGGGCTGCCTGGGGGGCTCAGTCGGTTAAGCAACTGACTCTTGATATTAAAAAAATTTTTTTTAACTTCTTGAAAAATCTCAAACTTACAGAATAGTCGCCAGTGTAGTATAAAGGACGTTATTTCCTGAAAGCTTGAGGGTAAGTAGTCAACCTGACGCCCACCATTCCTTAATACTTAAACATGCATTTTCTTACGATACTGCCATACAGTCATTAACATTAATGCCATAACAATACATTGCTAGAATCCAATCTTCAGCCTCTATTCAAGTTTTGCCAAATGTCCCAGTAAAGTTGTATGGAAAGAGAATCTGGTTCAGAATTGCATGTTGCATTTAGTTGTCATGTCTCTTTAGGCTCCTTGAATCTGGAAGAGCTTCTCCTTGAATTTAGTTATCTTGGCACTTTCAAAGATTACAGGCCAGTGATTTTGTAGAATGTCCCTTAATTTGGATTTTTCTGATGTTTCATGGTGATTAGACTCAGGTGATGCATTTCGGTGACTTTTTCAGGGACATCCCAGAAATCATGCTGTGTTCTTACTGCATCTTATGAGGTGCAAATGATTTCTCTTTGTCCCATTATTGCTGTGCCATCACTTTGATTACTTGTTAGGCTTCTCACCTTTGTTATCGTTTTCTCTTGAAAAATAGTAAATATTTTATGGGCAGGTACTTTTTTTTTTAATATTTTATTTATTTATTTGACAGAGAGAGAGACAGCGAGAGAGGGAACACAAGCAGGGGGAGTGGGAGAGGGAGAAGCAGGCTTCCTGCGGAGCAGGGAGCCCGACGCGGGGCTCGACGCAGGGCTCAATCCAGGACCCTTGGGATCATGACCTGAGCCGAAGGCAGCCGCTTAACTGACTGAGCCACCCAGGCGCCCCTATGGGCAGGTACTTTGAGACTATGTCAATATATGGTTCCTTAGCAAACTTCCAATTTATTCTTTTGTTTATTTATATCTGTGTGGACTTGTATTTTCCTTTTTCAAATCAATTGAGTTATAATCTATTACTAACTTGCCCCAGATTTGGCCGCTTGGAACCTTTCCTAGCTAGCTTCCGTGTTCCTTTCTTTCTTTGAGCACATCCTTACTTTCTGGTCCAGTGACATGCCCATGCTTATCTTGTATTTCTGTTCCAGCTCTGGAATCAAGCTTTTCCCTAAAGAGTCCTGTTTCTTTTTGCTGAGGAATGGCCTTTAGGAGTCACTATCTGGCTGCTGGGCATGCTCATTCCTATATCCAAGGTCATGAAGATTTACTCCAGTTTTCTTCTAAGAGTTTTATAGCTTTAGCTCTTACATTTAGATATTTGATCCATTTCGAGTTTATTTTTGTATATGGTCTGAGGTAGTAGTCCAATTTTTTTCTTTCATGTGGAAATCCATTTGTTCCAGCACCATTTGTTGAAGAGATTATTTTTTCCCCACTGAAGAGTCTTTTGAAAATCAATTGCCCGTAAGTGTATGGACTTATTCCTGGACTCTCAATTCTATTCTTTGGTATATATATCTTTTCAGAGTTTCTGTGGAGGGATGGGCCCTTGGAGTTCTCCACTCTGCCATTTTCTCTGACATCGCTTTATCCTTAATTTACTAACTTATTTAATGCATCTCCCTCTATACAACCAATCTCCCATACTAGTTCCATTTCCTCACTCCACTGCAGGCCAGCCCTTGACTCAGGCAACTTTCTTACCCTACTCGTGCTCCAAAACCTCACATTCCAACATCCCTCATGTGGACACCCTCCTCGCCCTGCTTGGTCTCCAACACCTGATGTCAGACTGCACCTCTGCATGAAAACACTTCTCATCCCTTTGAAGCTTTGACCTCCCACACTGAGCCATCTCCCTCTGGGGACGTTCTGCTCACCTTGCCTGAATGCCCACAGTGGGCAGCTGCCAGGAAGGGACACCCAGACTCTGACAACCCACGCTGGGCCCCATCCTGTGGACGTCCTATTCAGACTACGTTTTTAGTCTATATTCAGAAACAATTCTCTCAACTCTATTTTCCAATTCCTCCATTATAATTTTCATGTTTGTCAACATATTTTAACTTCTGAGAGCTCTTTTTTGTTCTGTGACTTTTGTCCATCCCGTCCTGTTCTTATTTTATAGCTATTATATCTGCTTGCTTCTCTCAAAGGATGCTGATTATATAAACAGGAGATTTTTTTAAAAAGTTTTCTTCTGTTTCCCAGGCCATTTCTGTTTTCTTCTCACTCGTTTTTCTATTTATTTTGTATTTACTCTTTGTGTTGGTGGTCTTCCTTAAACTCCTGGTGATCTTTGTTTAACTGCATTTAAGAGTAAAGCAATATAATGCTAGTTGCTACTTCTTTGTATAGGTAAAGCTTTTAGACTTCATTTCAGGGGTTTAGGTGGGAAGCAGCTATTTGCTGAAGGACCCCAAGTGTCAACACATAAAGGCTTACTTTTCTGAAGTTTTTTCCCTAAAGAAAAAAACTTAATTTCCTGTCTTTGGCTCAGATGCTGGAATTTTGCACTGGAGGAGGTGGGTGATGAGCCTCAGTACATCTTTGGAGACAGAGATTCTTACCTGACCTCCCTCTCTCTCATTTACATTACTCACATTTGAGCTCGTGACCTCTGCTATTATAAATTTTGTTATTTAAGAGAAACTTTGCATCACTGTCAAGATTCTCTTGTCTCTAGCCCATTATGTTCATTCCTGTTCCCAGGTGTTTATAAGAACATAGCATTGCTCTTGGGGGCCTACCCAACAGTCATCCCCAACCACTTCCCCCTTGCTTGTCCCCTAACATGGGTGTTCATTTTGCCAGAACACTTAAAAGCTAAGAGTGCTCACGTGTTCAAGTGATCCAAAAATGACAAATACAACAAAAAGTGTGTTTGCTGGGGAGCTTCTCAGAAAGATTTTTTCTTCCATGATTAAAGGCAAGAGGTGAAGGAGGAGAAAGAAACTGCCCCCACCCCTTTCCTCACTTCCAGCCTTTGAATGAGAGTGTATGAGGACACACATGATGATTGAAGCCGTGGAGTCCATCTTGGCTCATGATGGAAAGGCCAAGAGCATCACAGAGTCACTGAAACAGTGTCTTGATATCATTGGGACATGGGTCTCAGCTGGCTCATTGGCTTTGACTCCCTGGTTTTCTGAATCACCTTTTTATCCTCCTCTTTCTTTTCTTATCTCCCATCTCCTTTCCCTTCTCCTCTCTTCTCTTCACCCTCCCACATCTTTAAGGGTTTTTGAAGCTGGGATGGGATGGGTCAAAGACACAGGCAAAGTTCCAGACCCTCAACTGCCCTCATTAAGTCTTTTCTGAAACAAGATGGGGTGTGAAGAAACAAAGGAGCAGCTCCCCCTCTGTTTATTCTCTCCACCCTCCCATCTCCCCTCCTCCTGTGGCCAGGACAGCCTTCATCTGTAGGCCACTCTCCTGCTCTTGTCCTCCACTGGCTTCTCATGTCCTATAGGATAAAATCTAAATTCATTAACCTGGTTTCTCAAAGCTCTCCAGAGTCTGATCCCTGCCTCCTCTCCACCCTCATCCCTCACCACTTGCCCTGTGCCCTGGCCTTGCTGAGGCACTTGGGGTTCCTGGAGTGTATGCTGTGCCATTTCATCTCCGGGCGTCTGTTCTTCCTGCCAGAAACACACTTCTGCCCACAGGCATGAACCGCCCCTTTGTTCAAATGTCACCTCCTCTGAGAAGCTTTCCCCTCTCTCCCAGGCATGGCTAGTGGCTCAGCCCTTTAATCTTGGAGCGTCCCCCAGATAGAGCTGTTTCCTCTTTGAAGTGAGTGCATTTATGTGTTTCTGCAACTGTTTTCCCCACTAGACTGTGAGTTGGTTGAGAGCAAAATGCATGTCTTATTTTGGTATCCCCAGCACTGAGCATAGAGGTGCACCCAGACATGCTC